ACCCCAGCAGTTTTTTGGTTGGAGAATTCATACAGAACAATAAACTGTACACATAAACACGGCCCACGTCTCATGCTGCCACGATGTGAAGTGGCTGCCTCCACAAATCCTTAACGTACATCTTTTACTTCTCAGCCTTAACCATTTTCCCATAACACCAGGGGGGAAGGCTTCTTGCAGAGCCATCAATAATAAACGATTAAGCTGAGAGTTTAACGTGTAGATAATGGGGTGGAAAGGAGGAGGCTTTCAAAGAACAGAGTGCTTTTAGTCTCGAAACCACAGGCAGGAAGTGCTGGGTTTTTAATGGTCAGAGGCTGAAGGTGCTGGCTTACTGTTCAAGCATCATTTCTTACACGTGGTAAAAGATTGGTTTCAAATTACAACCATTATTACTAATGGACAGTATTAATTTAATGTCGCAAAATTCATGTTTGTCAATGACTATTAGGATTGTATGTAAAGTGAATGGAAAGTGATTATTATTTTCAAATGATACATAATGGTATCATTTACATGATGCCAATCCAAGTAGGATTAATTGATTGATTTTCCTGGGTAATGGCAGCAAAACAAGCTGAGAAGATGTTGAAAGACTGCCAGACTAAGTCAGAGATTAATAAAATCTTAATTTTAGGTGGCAAAAAGCATTGCTTCAAAACTTTTCAATGACACTAGCGCAGTGTCTGTTTGGAATGTTCTGTTCTCTTGCCCTGTGTTAATGCTCTGGAGCTACTTCAGTAGTATATTTGTGTGCAGAGCTTTTTATAAACAGTCTATGGTGCAGAGTGAAGTTAGAAAACTCCTATCTGGTTTATCTGCAATGAAGCCGTTGTGCATTCCACAATCAACCAGAATTAAACAAACAAAATTCAAAAGTGCACTTCCCTGGGCCTTTAACAATGCACATGCATTATTAACGTTTGAAGCCGATAACATGAGCTGTTATTGAGATATGCGATATCCACATACAGATTTCTGGACATATAACTTCATTGTGTCATTTAGACCTGCTAAACTTAAAAGATGTCTGCAACTGATTGTGACCTAAACATATTAAACCCCCAGATATCTTGACCTTCACATCATCAAATCCAATTACCTGGTGACTGGAGGGTCTGGGTTAAATTTGCCAGACAGCTGGGGACACTGAGTTAAGTGAATTAAGAACTTAATCCCAGCAGTTCTAGTGAAATGACCAACAGATTGAGATTTGAAGTCATTCCGCCACAGTCAGTGCTTATGTTTGTGACTCCTCTTGCCCTTGCTGATGATCCTCCATGCACTCAGACAGCTTGGGATTATACTTGATATCTGTAGTTTGTAGTTGTAAATACCTTTTTAACACTGCAATGTGCAACAAAGAGCAAGAAAAGCTGAAAGAGCTAGCTTGTGCTCTGCAGTGGGAGTAAACAATATACCTGCAGTGCAGGTAATAAAAAGGGATGGTTCTGCCGTTAATACAAATTTTTAGATTAAAAAAAACTTAATAAGAGGATAAATTTGTAATGCTTCACCAGATATCATTATGATCACAGAGCATATTGGCCTATTTTCTTCTATTTATCCATGAAGTGCGTCTTAAGTGGTTGTACAATACAGAGATTCATCCACTAAGACTGTGGCTCATTCAGCATCTGACCATCAAGCAAATTGACATAGACGTGCACACTACACACACACATTCAGATGCTCATTCAGATGCTAACGTAAACAAATAGCCAGAGTTCCCTAAAGCGTTGCCAGTCGCTCTCTTTATGTCTGACTGTGTCTCATTGAGATGGTGAGTCTATGAAAAGGCTCCTCTCAGTTTTGAAAAAAGAGAAGCATTTGTCTCTACAGGCTGGATGTGGATGATGTCTGCATACAGATGTTTGCCCCGGAGCTCTGAAACGAATAACATATGGCAGAGTCTTCTCTTCACGTGCTTGATAGCAAAGTTATTCCTTCATTCTTTATCAGTAGCTTCTGTTGTGCAGATAAGGAACGAGCCTTTATCTGCTTTCCTTATTTACAGAGGCATACAGTGTCCTGCACTTCCTGCGTATTGTTTTATGTATCGTATGTAAACACGTAACAACCACACGGAAAGCTGCATTTTTTTTATTTTGAGCTCCAACTATGCAGAAGATGTGTTGCATCACTAAAGAATTCAAAAACTTTCACTAACTTCAACAGCAGCAGAGGTTGTGACACGCACACACATATACACCTACATGTTGCAAGAATACCAGTATCACTGATATCTATTGCAAGTACACATCCATAAAGCACATCTTTAAGTCAAGAATGTCTTTGCAAACAGGAATTGCTAATCGCTAAATTGGCTAACCTTTAAATTAGCAGTTTACCAAAATGTAAATAAACATAGGCTAAAAGAGAAAACAAATATAAATCGTAGTTGATTTTACATGGAGGGCCCCTTTTTGTTGAAACTTGCTCTTAGTTGATCCATTCTTTGCAGTTGTGCAATGATTCCTCAGATGTCATTATCAAACCCTTATGTCAAAGAAATGTAATTGAGGCTTGATATTTTAAAACAAATATATAGAATTCAAAACTTGAATCAAACAGTTTTGGTTTTATCCCACCCTTTGCTTCATTGTGCCTTAAAATCAAAGACACACAGCTGCACACATCCACATGGTTACACATGTGTGCACACGCAGACAGTGACACACTCTTCTGTCCTCAGGACTATGGAGATCTCATTTAGATAACACTCCTGATCTGTCAGTGCCTCCCAGACTCACCCTTTCCCTGCTATATTCATCCATTGTGTTTCCACATGAGGAGACAACAACCTCAGCCGATCCTTCCCCTCGATACAGTGAGAGATCAGCGGGAGACACGAAGGCCCCGTCTGAACCGGACGTCTCCCTTTCACACACTCTCTCACAGTCTTTTACATTGACTTGTAGTTAAACCACCAAAAATCACAGCCTGCTTTGCACTTAATACTTTGCAAGAATTATCATTTATCTCACTTGAAAGCATTTGTCGTGTGACAATGGAGACGTAGCCACCCATTAGCCATCGAGGGTGCTGTATTGATGCTTTTAAAGTGTGGGCCAAATCAGCTGCCATAATAGCTGTCTCTTTCTCTATTTAGTCTGTTCCTCCCCACCTCTGGAGCACTTACTTTACTCCTCTGCATGTGTTTGTGTTTTGCAGAGAGAGGGAGAGAGTGTGGTATGTGTATTTATATCCAGTAGTATAGGGTGTGTAGAGGGGTGTGTATAGGGGTGCGTCAGCTGCACAAGTCTTTTAACCACCAAACACATTTTTTCTTCCCTTAATGTTAAAGCAGGAAGCTGATATCAAAATCTAAACCCCATTAGTTGCAGTATATCCTAAACCAGGTACCCAATAGATTAAAAGTGGACAGCTTTTTTTCATTATCTTGATCTTATAGCAAAGTCTGGATCATTAAATGCCCTATAGAGCTGTTTTGGTGTTAATTACCTATCATGAATGTCCTTTACTAGGTCTCATAAGGGAACCCTGTCTACCTTAAGAACACATATAGATACAATAGCATTTTGTATGAAATTTAATGCTGTGGGATAATGTAAGAAGAAAATATTTATATTGAATATATCAAACATTAAAGCTGACCCCCTTGTGACATGTCCCATTTGACAATACAATAGGAAAATTTGAGCCTGTTGATGACATTATGTAACTTATAACAGCCGTAAAAAAAAGGATGAAAATAATTTAGAATGAAAAAGAGGTTTTATACACGTGATGAAGATGTCAACCTTTAAAGATAATGAGATTTGAGCCATGTGAACTTCAGTCTGGTGTTAAAGCTCTGCTTTGTACACCTAACCATCTACCCCAGTCTCCTCCCTGTGTGTGTGTGTGTGTGTGTGTGTGTGTGTGTGTGTGTGTG